AAAAAAAGTTATTATAAATAAATAAAAAATCAAATGGAACAAACTCTTTCCCATAGATCCCTGGCTACTACTCCCAAAGAAGCATTCCTTCAAAACTTTATATTTTGAGAGTAATAAAACTTCAAAACTTTTTTTAAAAACATCTGCTTCATTTAGCAGCAGTTATATTTTATCTTTCTTGTTTATTTTTTCACTTTAAAAACTCTTTACTTAATAAGTTGGTGGCAAGAAAGCTTTTCTAGGAAGAAAAAACCAAATAAAAAAATACTCTCTTTCTTTTTTCTATAGAGGTTTCAAAATCTAGAAAAAAGTGTGAGCCAATAACTTCATGTCAGCTTAGTAAACTAACATCACTACCACAGGTAGAAATGGCTTCTATCTCAGTGTATAGTAGTTTTTTCTTGATTTTTCTGAGGGATTTTGCCTATCCTAGCTTGAATTTTCTGTTACATTAGATTTTGGATAGATTGATTGGCCAATGATTGGAATTGGTTGCTCTATGATTAGTAGAAATGTAAACAAGGATACATGTGACACGTGATATGAATGCATTTCTTAAGCCTCATAAGAACCTTAAATCCATTATAAATTATTTGCTGAAAATGTGAATAGATAAACATTACATGAACTGTGGTCTTCTCTCTTTCATTATTTTTCAAAGTGTCATGACTATAGAATGAGTACCTCTCCTATTGGAATAGAATTTCAAGAACTCATACTACTTTTGAAGACACAACCATTCTTCTATTCCAAAATCACTCCAGGGTTTTTCTATTCTGATTCAAATGGTTTTTTACCCTCATATGACACAAAATACTATTGAACTTACATTTTTTCTTTAAACACACTTGGTATTGGTGACAGGTCATAATCATCAGGATCAAAAAAAAAGGCATACTTCTTCTTTCTTGAAATTAGCAAGTCCACTATGATATATTAGTTAGGAGGACTCTGAAAGGATTGAAAATCCAATAAGAGATGTTTAGTTTTTTTCTATATAGTAGTAGTAATAGAAATTTAATCCAATCAGATATCTTCAGGCAACAACCCATCCAGTAAATCCATTAAAGGTTGGGTTTTAGGGAGTTTAGTGACATAAATGATATATGGCTCCATATGACAACCTTTGTGATCTCTGTATTAATTTATATACAGTATTACATTATCAAAGTCAATAAATATGGCTGAGTTTCCATTTCAAAAAAAAAACAAAAAATAAATAAATAAAAAATTATTGCTTAAAGCAAGTTGAAATAAAATATATTATTGAAGTAAAGCTTTTTATAAAGTAATGAATTTTCAAATAATATATAAGAAAGAAATCAATATTAAAAGACTTATGGATTCATAGTGCAGTGGTTAGCACTCCATAGATCTGATCATAAGATACAGGTTCAAATCCTCCAGATGGCAATATCTAAAGTTGATAAAAATCTGCATCCGTTGGTCTAACCGTATCTAATTGATGTTTCCAAATATAGCTACTTGTCTTAAGTAATTATCGGGAAAGAATACCTATTGATAAGTAGTATGGTCTATATAAGGATTGTGATCAGCTGTGATATCTGAAATCGGCTAAGATTATCCTGATGTCACTAGTTACTATATAGAAGTGAATATAGTAATGAACACAAGAGTAGATCCCTAAACCAGTAGGATGCCACTGATAATCAAGCATTGGTCTTTGTACCGCTCACTGACTTAACTATCGGGAGGCCTTGATAGGAGGAGAAATCTGCGGATCATTTTAAAGGACAAAAATACTGGATCCAGGATACTGTATTCAATGGCCTGATAACCTACCTACTTTGGTATAAAAATGTATAGGGAATAATTAAGACAGAATCGTACAGTTTTCTGTTGAAGTAATACTTATACATATATAGTATGATCAATATAATTAGTCATATATATAATAGTTTACTATGATAGTTGATGTATATAGTGCTTATTTGATAATATACACAATAGATACATTACCCCTTTTTTTGTCTGTACAAGCACATACGACAATGATTCTGATCTACTGAATAACTCAAATAAAAACTGTAGGGCTTGGTCAGACATATGGCAGTGACAACCTGCTGGCAATGATGCAGTGAACTAGGAGGGTCTTTACCCAAAGATACTGCGGAGTGAAATATTGTCCTCAAGGTCGAACTTAGAGACTTTTATGCTTACGACGAGTTAGTTAGATTAGAATAATAGTTTAGCTATAGTATGTATTATACTGCTCGAATGAAAATGTATTTTTGTCTTCATTTGATTAATAAACTGACAATCTAGCCTGGTTATGGATACTCAAAAAAAAAAAAATAATCAATATTAAAAATAAATAAATTTTTTAAATAGTTAGAAAAAGAAAAATTATTTTAATTGAACAAATTTTATTGAAAAGAAATTTGAAAATATAAATCTTTGAAGAAAATTAAATAATATTTTATTTTTTTATTTTTTTTATAATATACTTATATATTTTTTAAATATTTTTTTTCTTCTTTTTCTCAATCTATTCTTTAATTTTAAATATTTCAATAGAATAATAAAATAATTAGTAATAATAATATAGTATATAATCTAAAAAGACCTTTATTCAAAGTCTATTTCCAAATAACAATTATTCTCAAAATCAAATTTATAACTCAATAGATTAATTAGATTTATATACTGTAGATATATAGCTTAACTATAGTATATACTTTATTACTTAAATAAATATGTACTTTTGTATTTTTTTTATTAATAAATAAACTTTCAATTTAACTTGGCAGAAAATAGAGATAAAATCAAATATTTCTTTTTAGAAAACTTTAAAATTTTTAAATTACTAATTATAAAAAAATTATTCACAATAGTTTTTTATTTTTTTAAATCATTAATTTAAAGTATTTTCGGATTTTTGATCCTACTAAAGTAAAGAGTTATAAATTTTGTCTCTCTATAATCAAAAAATAATAATCTTTAATGGTCACGGGCACTTTGTGTAATATAAATTATACTTCAAACATTCGCGTTTAATTTAATTCTCTAAACATATTCAAAATGAGTGCTGGTAAGGTGTTCCATTTATCATGCTGCGTATCGCATAATTAAGTTTTGCTCTAATTATATTTTATGAACAGACGAGTATAAGCACAATCTTGAACCGTCGAGTGCGCTAGGAATACGGGAGTTAGAAACGATCGAAAAAGTACGCTTTTGGATTATTTATCCCGAATCCAATGATATGCTTTTAGATATGTTTTTTATCATTTGTTGGTCTAGTCAATCGTTGAACTTGTAGAAACTGCAGGGAAGGCAATTATGAGTCTAGTATCAAATAAAAAACGACTTTCGTCTGAAGACAATGAACTCTTGAGGTCTGTAGAGAAGCTCACTAGAGCCCAACAGGAAGAAGAATTTAAGATACTAGCACAAAAATTTTTTGACTTGGTGGATGTAAGTTATATTTACCAATTAACTGCTAATGAGATATCGCCTAACATTTATTTTCACAAATTTAACAAAGAATATTCAAGAAAGATTACGCATTCAATTTCGTAATATGCGAAACATGGGTATCACCTCAGGCGATATCCCTTTTTTTACGGTAACATATGGAGAAGCAAAAGAATATGAGATCTGGATAAATGCTGCAAGAATCCTGAGAAAGGAATTGGATAACATTGTTGATATTGGCTTGGCTGCTGGTGAAGATATGAAAATGGAAGTCGACGAAAAAGAATATATTTTGTGAATTTCTCTATTTATTTGTAGAAAAATTATTTAGAGATAACAGGAAATTTGATTTAAAATATACAAAGGAAAATTTTCATTGCATTTTTTTAATGATTATTTGTAAAATATATAGAACTCATTAAATAACGCGTTTCTTATTTATTACATATAAAATAAATTATTTATACTATCTGTACTATACTATAGTATATAGATTCGTTAAATTATACATGATGGCATCATTGTGGGTTAAAAATATATATATATATATATATATTTGTTAATATTTTAAAAGTTAATTTTATAACATAGCTATTATTTGATCATTAAATATATTAAAATTAATACAACATAATTTTTTTTAATATTTAGAGCCAGGTTAGACTAGTAGTTTATTAATCAATTGAATACATGAGTACTTGAACAACATAGTCAAACTTTTCTAACCAAGTTTAACAAACTTGCCATAAACAGTAATAACTTCTAGGTTTGATCTTGAAAACAATATTTTATTCTTTAATGAATTTTGAATAAAGATCTTTCTAATTAATATATCATTGTTTGTTTTTTTTAATAATCCACAATTATATCACAGTGACTTGTCTTTATTGAGAAATTAAAACAAAATCTATAATAAACCATAAACTTTTATAAAATAATTAACTCATCTTCACATATAAGTACTCTAAATTAAATTTTGAAACCAATATTATACTTTTCTAATATGATTGAATTCATCATTATTTATTAAAATTATTGTTAACAGTTTATTACTATTGATTGATCTGAAAATCAATGAATTATTAAATTAGATGAAGAATAAAAATAAAAAAATTAAAAAAAAACAATTTAAAATTTATTAAAAAAGTTTAAAAATAAAAACAATCTCTTTTTAAAAAATTTTTATTTATTGTATCAATCTTTTTGCTTTATTTAAATCTTAAAATAAATTTTTTTTTGTCACTATTGATAATATTGAATAAGTCAATTCAACTAATTTTTTATTTAAATAAGTATTGAATTGGAATATTTTAAAAAATTTTTGAATTTTAATTTTTATTCATTAAAGTTTATTATAATCTGAGAAACTTATATAATAGATAGAAGTTTGCAATTCATATTATTCATTATTTGATTTTTGATATTATTAAAGGACTTAAGTTTTTAAAAGATAAATATTTTTGAAATATTCTTTCTAATTATTAATAATATTATTAGACCACATAAGTGTGATCAATAAAAGCTTATTTATATTTTAAAAACTTATATATTTTATGTTAATTAATTATCTTTAATAAGAATTTGTACTATTTAAAATTCAGAATCAACTAAAATAGAAAAAATTTATCAGAAAACTATAAAAATAAAAGTTTTAAAAAAGTTAAACTATTAAAAAGAAAAAAATAAGTTAAGCTTTTTTATTATACAAAATTTCTATAAATCTCTTAATTCAAAGATTAAAAAGATATTTAAATACTTTATAATTAATTCTTTTTTTTTTTTTGAGAACTTTTTTGCACTTGATATCAAATGTATTATTTGATTTTTCTTAATTATTAAAGATTAAGTTTTTGAGTAAAAGGATTTATAAACAAAAGAAAATTGATAAGAATAATATAGAAAATATAAAAATTTCTTATAAATATATTTTTATATATAATTAAAAAATCAATAAAAAGAATTTATATATTATTGTTAACAAGTTATTACTATTATATATTCTATCAAGTTATTGAAATACAAAAAAATATAAAAAGAATTAATTAAAAAAAAAAGTAATATCTAAAAATATCAAATATATAACAAGAAAAAAAAAACAATAATAATAAATTTTTTAGTTTACTTATTTTTTAAAATCTTTTTTAATAAAAATTATTCAATTGAGATATTTTTTTTCTTTTGATGATTTAAAAAATCTATTTATAATATTTTTATTTTTATTTTTATTTTTATTTATTAATTGAGAAGATTTATTATTTATCAACTTTTATTTTCAAATAAATATTTAATTTTAACTTGTTTTGAAAAATAATTTTATTTATTTGTAATATAATTATTATTTATAATAAAATTTAAATTTTATATAATATTATTTAAGTTAGTTATAGCTCATCAATGGATAAAATAAAATAGAATTTCAAACAAATAGAATCAATAGATTGAAAATTAATATGACTACACATGGAATTTGATATAGAATAGGATAAAAAATGGATATACTTGAGACATCTCCTTTAAAGATTCTCAAAAAAAAAAACTTCCTTATTAAATTAATCAATAAATAATTATTAATACTTTCCAAATTGGCTATAAGAATATCTGATCATATAAACAAGTAAAGTATATAGTATGCAAACAGCAAACAGAAACAATAGAATACCTACTAGAATATCTAGCATATAAAGCCTAATAGCAGGAAATTTGAAATAAAGAAGCTGAAAATATTCTAAAAGACTTTCAAAAACTTCTGTATGAGAGAAGAAAAGAGATGAAAGTGAAAGAAATAAGGCTTCTAGTTGAAAATAGAATAGAATTAGAAGAATTGGACAAATATATAATCAGGCTTATAGAAGAGACTATAGAAATAGACTAAAATATACTAAACTTTTGTATGGAATTAAAACGAAGTAATTAGATATTGAAAATATCAAATTTAAAATATTGTCAGAAAAGAATAGATAAAGAAGTCCAAAAATAGATAATAAAGATGCAGAAAAAGATTTGCAATTAATTTTGAAAAAAAATCTGAAACAAAAGATGATCAAAAATAATCAAGTGAGAACAAGTACAAGAGATCTATAGAAAAAACAAAATAAAAAGATCAGCCAATCTATTAAACTAGAACAACAAGATCACAACTATGAAAAAGTTTTTACAGAAAAAAGAAAAACTTAAAGATAAAAGTCTGAAACAAATCTTTCTAGAAGAAGTAAAGTATGAAATAAAATAGATAGGGTTTTAACTTCTGTCAGAACTCATAAGGAAGGTCTGCAGTAGTGATCTATAGGTAATAAAATTAATAGTTGGAAGGGTTTTTATCTAAACTACTAATGGAGTGATAAATCACTTCCAAAGTTATACTTAGAGTAATAATAATCAAGATGAGTGAGCTAATTAGAGATTTAGATTTAGTAATTTATTTTATATATATAGTATACTAATGTTTAATAAAATATATATAATTAGCTTGATAGAGTGCAAAAAAAAAAAAAATTATTATTATTTAAGTTATATTTAGAAAAAAAAATTTTTAATTAAAAATAAATTGATATGTAAAAGTTATTTTTTTTTTTTATTAATCTACAATCATATTAATATAACTTGTTTTTATTAAGATACTTAAAAAAATATTAAAATAATCTATAGACTTTTTTATATAATAACTAATTTATCTTTGTACATTATTAGTTAAAAAACTATATTACTTAAAAATATGAGATATTCATTAAGTTAATTTAGATTAAACAAAACTATGTCTCAACTAAATACTTTAAGCCAGATTTAGGGTATAATATTATACTCTTCTAATAGCTTGATATAATATTTCTAAGTTAACTAAGGTTATTTTCAATAGTTTGTTACTATTTATTATTTCAAAAAATGATGAATTGCTAAAGTTAGTACTAAAAAAAATAAAGATGAAAAACAACTCAAAGCTTTTTAAAAGGTTCTTGCTTTATTTTCTAATCTCTTCTTAAAAAAGATCTTGCTTGATTAAGATATTTTTTTTTGCTTCATTTGAATCTTGAAAAGAGTCTTCTTTATTATTACCTATAGTATCAAATGAGTCTTTATTTAAGTATATATTAAATTGGAATAGCCCAAAAGAAACTAAAAAATCTCAGTTTTTACTTTAGAAAACCTTTTTATTACTTAAGAAATTTAAAAAAGAGATAAAATTTTTTTATACAAATCCATTTCACTTTTAGTGTTATAACTATTTCTTGAAAGTTGAACATATATAGTTAAAAGAAAACTTCTTTTAAAACTTTTTTTTCTATATTATCCATAATAGAATATGGACATATGAGTATAACCAATAAGAACTTGTTTACTTTTTCTAAAACTAATATAGTTCATATTAAATAATTATTTTTGATAAAAATTTATATTATCCAAAATTCAAAATCAAATTAAAGTAGGTAAAATTTCTTAGAAAACCAAGAAAGTAATAGCTCTAAGAGATCAACAAGTAACTGAAAGAGGAAAAAATAAGTACTTTTGCTATTAAAAATCTCTATGCACATCTCACTAGAAGGTTTTTATGTACTGCATTATTAATTCTTTTTTCTTTAAGAACTTTTTTGCTATTGGTATAAAAGGTGTTACTTTATGGTACTATATTTAATAAGTAATATATACTAATTAAGTATTGATAAGAATATCAAAGAATATCAAAGAAATAATTATAAATAAACAGATAAAAATAGAAATAGAATAAAGATTATAACTAAAAATAATTATCCAATTGTATTAAGTTTATTTTTATTATAGTATACACTAGTCGAAATTATGTCATTTGGCAGCTAAATTATTGTCAAATTTGATTAAATTTAATAATAAAAATATTGATGAATTCTTTTTGATTGCTGCCACTCGACATATTACTATTTCGGCAATAAAGTGGCAATCAAAAATTTAGCAATCAAAAATTTGACAATTAAAAATTCGACAATAAAAAAAATCGGCATATTAATAATTTATCAAAAATTTTATTAACGATTTATTATTAACAATCTGACAATAATTTATTAACAATTTATTAAAAATTCATTACAAAATTATTTATTAACAATTCAATAAATATTTATTAATAATTCATAAAAAATTCATCAAAATTTATTAAAAAATTTAGTAACTATTTATTAAAACTATTTATTAAATATTTGACAACTATTCATTAAATTATTCATTAAAAATTTATTGACCATTCATTAAAAATTTGACAACTATTTATTCAAAAATTTATAAACTTGTGAAAAAAATTATTTATATTTATACAGTATATTATTTGATACT